GGTTTAGGGTTTAGGTTTTACAAAGGCCAAGGCAATTGGCAGGTTGGCAGAGGCTACGAGGAAGGCGCAGATGACTCAGATTGCTGCTGAGAGGGGCCCTGTTCAAATAAGAGCCCGAGGTACTAGGCAAAGCTCTTTCTGGAATAGCAGCCTGTGCTTGTGATGTTTGTGACGAAACGAATGGCAGAACATGCAACCCAACCATTTGTTCGACTTTAGACCCTAAGCCCTAAACTGCTGGAGTGCAAAAAACGGTTTAGGGTTTAGGGTTTCTGAATCTTCCGAAACCCCACAGCCCAACCCCTAAACCCTTATCCGGAAAGCTCTATCCCCGTTGAACACTCTGGATTCTGGATGATAATTTTTTCGATTTCACACTAAATCGAGACCCAAGTTTCGCTTGTTATCTATTCCTTGGAAGGCTTGTCGAGCTTTCATCGAATGTCTTGTTTCGGTTTATCTTCGCATTGGTTGTCACTTCTACTTCGGGGCATCGTTGTATTTTGCTTGAAAGCGGCCCGAGACGTCATGAGGGAATGAATTAGGTTGACTTTATGGGTTAGTACGGGAGTTTGGTTGGTGGTTTTGATTCGGGATTATTTGTTGAAGGATTATAGTGCGAACTTTGTCAGATGCTTTGTTCAATTTTTCTTGATGTGAGGGTGCTGGTTGAGAATTGTGGATCGGCCGCTGCTAGATCTAGCGCCGGGGACCATTGAGGGTCGGGTCAGGCATCGCTCTGCTGCACGTCCAAGCATGCAGGAGGTAGTTCTGTGTGTCGGAACCATGACATCGTATTCTAGGCCTTGAAGTGAATCCATGGCCTTCAAAACAGGGAGACCATTCGAGAGCGGAGTTCATGGTGTCCTCAAGCGTTTCGTAGGTCTAGGCCTTGAGCATTCAATAGTTTCAGGGCTCCCTAAGGTGAAACATTCAGTGCCATGTCTATTTCTCCGCTGCATGCGGCGAGCACGGATGGCTCAGAAGCTGTTCGATATGCCGCTCCGGAGCACAGAGTCAGGGTCTTGCGACTTGCGACTGCGGATACCAGGACGTAGGCTAATGCACTCATTTTCAACTGGGATGAGCGAACGGTCGTGCTCGATCTTCGGGGTACAGGATCAAGCTGAAGACGGAGATCCGTAGACAGCGAGAGAGAGAGAGCGAGAGAGAGAGAGAGAGAGAGAGGCAGAGATAGGCAGGCAGGGAGCAGAAGCAAAAATCCTGGAAGCTGTCGTCTGGACCGCAAATGCAGAGATCAAGGAACGCTTTGGCGAGCCAGAAACGACGCGCCGACTTTGGCCAGCCACAGCGGCTGTAGGCGTCGTGCACATGATGTAAGATTTCAGATCCAAGGTTTAGGGTTTAGGGTGTAGGGTTTGGGATTAGGGTTTAGGGTTTAGGGTGTAGGGTTTGGGGATTAGGGTTTAGGGTTTGCAGGGTTTAGGGTGTGGGTGTAGGGTTTAGGGTTTAGGGTGTAGGGTTTGGGATTAGGGTTTAGGGTATAATATTGAGGCCCAGAGAATTACCAACATGATTCTGTCGGGTTTAAGTTCGCAAAGATCGGCCTTTTATGTGCTGTTTTCAAACAGAATACCGAAGGATCTGAAACTGCTTTCTTACTTCTGTACCCTCACCCGACAGCCCGTTGTGTTTGTTAGGGGCCACTGTCGACCCCTCAGCACTGAAACTCCGAACTTTTTATAACCCCCTAGGTCGGATCGGTGCCTACGTCACACGTGCACCCCAGGAGCTTATGCATATGCAAGCCCACACTACACAGCTCCCTGAGCTGGTCTTTCTTTGAAGCCCAGGTGCAGTTAAGACCCTATTAGATTCCGACCCTTGCCACTGATGAAGCACTCTCCTCTTCCAGAACTAAGAGGCTTCTGAAGCTTAGGGTTTAGGGCTTAGGCTTTAGGGTTTCCTGGGTAGGCTTTAGGGTTTATGGTTTAGGCTTGAGGGTTTAGGGTTTAGGGTTTAGGCGTTAGGGTTCAGGGTCAGATTTCGAAACCCCTGAACGCGCCCCGCTCCCTCAGAAATGTTTGCATACCATGCGTGCTCACCGAGGTCGTGACCGAGGTTCAAGCTCCGTATGTAGCTCCGGCCTCTGCAACACTATAAACCCTGAACCCAACCCTGAACCCTAAACCCTAAACCTGGACGCCATGGAGCCAGACTGGCTTCCGCCACTACGCCAGCAACTTTCCCAGCGGAAGCAGGGCGGCGATCGCCTCTGCAGCCTCAAGTGGTGTGGCTTGGAAGTCCAGAGGCGTCGTTTTACCCCTCGTTTTTGGGTTGAGGTTCCCTTGCAAAGCAACCAACCACAAAGAGGCACCCTTATAATCATAGACATGGTTACTGAGCCCCTAACACCTAAACCCTAAACCCTTATATTGATAGATATGGTTGCTGGGCCCCTAAACCCAAAACCCTTATAATGATAGATATGGTTGCTGGGCCCCTAAACACTAAACCCATGTAGTGATAGATATGGTTACTGGGCCCCTAAACCCTAAACCCGTATAATGATGGATATGGTTGCTGGGCCCTGACACCCATAAAATGATAGATGCGGGTACTGGTGCTACCAAGGCAGCGATGGTCTCGCTCTAAGCCTCCTGTCCGGCGATCGTTTGCTAACGCTGACGACAGTGGGAAGAGATGCAACCTTCCAGAACCTGAAGCAGAGGCTTCTGAGTTCTTGTTGAAGGGCTTAACTTAAGTTGCCATAACAAAAGAACCCCTCTTGTTTTCCCCAGAAATCCCTATTGTGTTCTTGTTAAGGGGTTTAGTTTCAGGTTTCTGGAGGTAACATAGTAGGGTTTAGGGTTAAGGTTTAGGGGTTTACTTTAAGTTACCATAATGACGAAACTCTATTACTTATTATAGATCCCTATTATGGTAACCTAAATTAGATTCCTCAATTATTATGGTAACCTAAAATAGATACCTCAATAAGAACCCAGGCTTCTGAGAGAGCTGAACGCAGAAGACAGAGATGTGAACTTTCTCCGCGGCGCTGCGGCTGTTGGCCTTGATGAGCAGATAGGAGATCTGAATGGGGTCGTCTTGCAGCAGCAGGAAGTGCAGCGGAGTGAAGATGGGTTCAGCTTGCTGCCATACCAGCGCAGCGCGGTGGAGTATGCCCTCCAGCGTTCTGGCCGCGTGCTGCTGGGCCACGAGATGGGGCTCGGTAAGACCGTCATCGCTCTGGCGGTTTGTGCAAACTACAGGAAGGATTGGCCTGTTTTGGTCGTGGCACCCACGGTGCTGCTCGACCAGTGGAGCGATGAGATTCAGCGATGGTTGCCGGACATTCCGGCAGAGGGCGTTCAAGTCGTTCGCAAAGCGATGCACATGAAGAATAGGCAGAAAGTGCCAGTGGAGATCAAACCGACAGCGAAATTTGTTTTGGTTTCTTACGGCCTCGTCGTTGGACAGGTGCAGCGCAAGGGTGTTGCAAAAGGTGTGCGTGGCCAAAGCAATGGCCATCTACGCGTCGCAGCGAATGGCCAGCCATACCGCACAGTGATCATCGACGAGGCCCACGCGCTGAAGGATTTCGGGACGCAGCGAACAAAGACCTTGATTCCTATCCTGCACAGAGCTACGCGAGCGATCTTGATGACGGGCACACCGCTTGCGAATGCGTCAGCCGGCGATATCCTTCCACTCATGGCTGCTGTTATTGGCCACCGCATTCGATTGCCACCTGTGGACAAGTGGTGCGCACATTTCTGTGCCGAGAACAGGCAATTTAACACAGGATTTAGGACAATCAATCGCTGGATTGGCGTGACTAGGATGCTCAGTAGTACCTGTACTTTATAGGAATTATAGGGTTTCTTATACACCCTTTAAGCCAAAAACGGTGCCATTTTTTCATCCTAGGTTACTGGGCAGCCTAGGTGAGCAAAGAGCATGAAGAAGCGCTCTCCGAGCTCTTGCACTTCTTCATGGTGCGTCGGACGAAGGAAGAGGTGCTTGCAGAGCTGCCCCCGAAAAGGCGCTTGAAGGTGCGCCTCGAGCTGACCCCATCTGAGATGGGGCCCGTCACCAAGCAGCAGCAAGCCATTGCAGCTTTCGAGAAGGCCGCCAAAGAGAATTCGGAAGGCGAAGAGATCGACAGTCTGCCCAGCCACGAGATCATGAAGGTTTTCAAGCTGCTAGCAGAAGCAAAGCAGGGTGCAGTCTGTGATTGGTTGCACACCTCGTTTTTTGATGAGCAGGCGGGGGTGAAGACCAAAGTCTTGATCTTCGCTCACCACAAGTGCGTCCATGAGAAGCTGGCGGAGTTTTTCAAGAAGCAGCTCGGCGAGGGCAGCTGCGGCGATTCGTGGGTCCACCTCACGGGCGAAACGAGTCCTAGCGAGCGGAGCAAGCAGCTGAACATGTTCAAGTCAGCTGATCGCTGTCGCTTTGCTGTTCTGGCACTGACAGCATGTGGCACCGGGCTGAATCTTGACATTGCTGCTGGGTCCCTGTTAAAGGATTTAATGTAAGTTGCCATACTGTATACTAAAGAAACCATACTATGTACTATAGATCCCTACTGCGGTAACTTCAGTTAAGCTCCTTATGAAGCACCCAGGCTGACACGTGCATCTTCGCCGAGTTGTGTTGGACACCCAGCGCGCTCAACCAAGCAGAGTCGAGGATACACAGGATGGGGCAGCAAGCCAGACGAGTGCTCGTGTACTATTTGGTTGCTGGTGTTCGGGGTTCACCTGACGAGATTATGTTTAATGCCCTGGCGACAAAAGCAGAGACCGTCAGCAGGGTTGTCGACCATGAGCTGGAGAACCCCTCCGCATTGCGAGACTCGCAACTGCTGACTCCAAAGCGCAAGAGGCGCAGCAGCCACCTAGACGAGGTCGGAGAGACGCCAGAACTGAAGCCGAAGCGTCCCGCTCGCAGGCAGCCGGAGATGAGTGCAGCCGGAAAACAACTGCGGCTTTGTCCGATAGTCAGGGCACATTTTGCAGAGCTGCTAGGTCCGTTCTGCGCGAGTATCTCGGTGAGTTGTGCAGCGTCTGCCAAGTTGGTCACTAGAATCCTGCCCGCCTCGGCCAACCTCCGCACATGCAGGACGAGTAACCGCTCTCCTCCAACTGCATGCTTTTTGAACACTGAACCTTAGCCCCCACGCCTGTAAGATGGACCTGCCTGCGAAGTTAATGTAGGGGCCTACATAATTACCAATACCATCTGGGGGTTCCTGGTTATGTTATATAGTATAACATACCCCAAAGCTTTATTCTAAATATTAGGGCCCTAGATGAGCACTGTCAGTCTAAGAGTAAGGAAAAAGTTCATCCTTTCACCCAAGCCCCAGGTGCTGACACACCACGACCCCTTGCAACTCGCTGCGCCGCGGCCTACATTGTTACATTAAAGCCCTCAGTTATATGTCTGAGAGCCACAATCCCGAAGCGCCAAACCGTAAGCCTCTAGTCTACGCCCCAAACCCTACCCTGAACCCCAGAATCGAATACCAACACCTCAGACCCTAAACCCTGAGCTCCGAGCGACAGGCTTACTACTCTGCAGCGGGATCTTTTTCGCAGCCTCCCGGGTTGGCCAGCCTGTTGTGGATACCAGGCCACTGTATATCGGGACCTGAATAATTTGAATTGGGTTCCTTGTCAAGGTTTCTATAAGGATTTTCTCATGAAGGTTTTATGTTCTGGCATTTTGCTATAGGGCCCAAGAATGAGAACAGCGTTTCAGCAGGGTGTTATCGGGATTTTAACGGGCTTTTCTGAGGCTCCAGTCTGGGCCTAGAGTCTCTAAGCTAGCCCCAAACCCTAACCGTAAGCCCTGAACCCTTTTTACTTAGAATAAGGTTCCTTCAAGGACTGTATAAAAGTTTCTACAAGGGCTCTATAAGGTCTCTATAGTCTGGGATGGTTTAGGGTTTAAATACAGCTTTTGGTATACCACGCTATACCAGACCCCGAGAGGATCCAAAAAGTAGAACGGGTTTGGTATAAAGTACGCTTTAGTTGTACAGGGTTTCTCATTAGGGGATCTACTCTTTAGAACCTCCCGGAAGTCTGGGATAGCTGTACCGTGAGTCAAAGGGAAACCTAAACCCTAAAGAGTTTATTGTTTAGGGTTTAGGGTGGTAGAGAAACCCTAAACCCTAAACCCTAAAGAGGTATTCTGACCCAGGAGCCCAGAGTGTGGCCTGTTGCAGATTCAACCCTGAACCCCAAGCTGCCAAAACCTACTCTTTGGTAGGTTCTTATAATGACCCTCATATGGAATTTTTCGGGACCCTACAAAAAAGCAGGCCCTGGTAGGTTAGGGTAAATCTTGAGCCTGGGATTGTAAACACGAAACTGCTGACGTTCTCAGCTTCGATCATGTGGCAGTGTGAGATGTTTGCGGAGAGGGCCATCAGTACCACCATGAAGATTACGAAGCGGGGCTCAGGGCCGTTGTTCGCTTAGACAGAAATTCGAGTGGTTCAATATTCCGACCACAGTTTGAGGTTTAGGGTCTAGGGATTAGGGCTTCAGCCGTAAATCCTACACCTATTGAGCTTGTATCAAAGGGTCTGCTTTTCTTGCTTTGTTGTACTTGATGCTCGGTCACTCCTCCATCACGAGTACCTAGTGTGGCCCTGTGAGAGTTTTTGGCCAGCAACGGTGTTAGTCTACGTGCTTCTCATGCAGCCACAGTCAAAAGCAATGGCAGGCCCGATCGCAGCCATCCTTCTTACGAACAAAGAGAATTCAACTTGCCTGCTTCACTGGTTTCACATCCTCAGGGCACCAGCGGGTGATTTTGTCGCATTGGACGCGACTTGGGTCGCAGCGATGCTTCCGAACTTCCGGGATTCGGGTGCTTTGAGCTTCTGAGCGCTCTGAGGCCCCAGCAAACACTTGCTTCTGTTTGGAGGTTACACTTTGCACTCTTCCTATCGCCGAAGCAACATCTGAGAGACCCTGTCGCAAGCTCAGTAGATTCAAGGGTTTTTGGTCGGTGCTATCATCAAACTGCACTTGGGGCAGTCTTCGTGGGTGGTTTTGTGGTTCGATGCGACTATCAGCACCGTCGATATTCTGACGACCCTGCTATGACTTGAGCTATTGTTGCAACGAGGATAAAGCGATGCTATTATTCGCCGCCGCTGTGACTGCTACATCCTGTCCTCCCCTTGCTTTTCACATAATCGTTTGTTTTCATGGCGCAATTGACGCATCCTGGTGATGTTGATGCTGACCTTGGATGTCACAAACCCGGCATCATCGTCATCTTCACCACATCAGGTCATCATCATCATCATCATCATCGTCACATCAGGGTCATCCTCAAGGTCATCAAGGCCATGACCGTCATGACCATCATGCTCGTCATGTTCATGACGACCATCATCATTATAATTATCAGTATCATTATCATCATCATTATCATCATCAGCCTGATCACCACTCTTATCATCAACATCATCATCAGCATCATCATCACCCTGACCATCAACATCATCGTCAACTTCCTCACCATCTTGACCGTCATGACCACATGGCCATCATGATATCATGGTGATGATGATCATTCATTCGTCCTTCCTTCCTTCCTTCCTTCCTTCCTTCCTTCCTTCCTTGCTTCATTCATTCATTCATTCATTCATTCATTCATTCATTCATTCATGCATTATTCTTTCATCATCACGATCATGCTCAGGGCACTGCATGATTTTCGTACACCGTAGATATCAAAGGTTGAGTCTTTCGGGTTATGATATCGGACGGAGCCGTTGCTATTGATTGCTTTACCTGTGAAATGATTGCAGAAGGGGCCGATGGTGATGGTGAAAATGGCAGCAGTGATGGCAGTCATGATCATGATCCTAAACCCTAAACCCTAAACCCATCATGGTTCATTGTGATGACGTGGGAGGCCTCTGTGCAAGCCAAGCAGAAGCCCCATCTGCCAGCAGGCGAAGGCCTATCGTGGGTTTGGATTTGAGGACTCCAAAAAATGTCAACCTGTCGTCCAGCTTCCGGGTTTCAGCCCCGCTAGATTTTGGGGAGTTGGGGTCGAGAAATCAGGACTTTCAGTGGCAGAGTTGCAATTCTTGCTGGCAGGAGCGGGTTTGAGGACTTGGACTGCTGGAGCCAAGCATCCGTGGGTACGTTGACATGTTGATGTACTTGCCTATATGACAGGTTCTGCGGTTCCACCTGGCTGTGCTCTTGAGTATGGAAAGGGTAGTGATAGTAATGCTCGTGGCGATGGTGTTTGATGGTCTAACTTGCAAACTTGAAACTGGTAACTACCATGTCAGCCGCAACTCCAGTCTTGCAGGATAGTTGTTTTAGCTGCACTGCAGTTAGAATTCGAAAGCAGCCAACTTTAGCAACACCGGCTGTCCATGAACCAGCTCCAAAATAGCAACTTCAACGGCCCTGTGTTTGCAGCCGATGGATCCAAAATAGGTCGCTGTTCACCATGAAGCTTCAGTTCGGAGCTAATGTAGGGGCAGAAGGAACCCTAAGATTAATACTTCTAATTATTTAGGCTTCTATGTCATACGCAGTATTCCTTGGGGTTCCTCCATATATTCCTGCAGGGAACGGACGCCAAAACCCCGCTCTACCTCCTAAGGCCCCGTGTCATCTCCCCTGTTGCGAGAATGAAGATCGAAACCGTGGGTTCAGGAGTCTGCGGTTTAGGGTTAAGGGTTGAGGTGCGGCTTCTGAATAGTCCATGGACATCCCAACGCTCCAGTCTCGGTGGGCACCAAGGGCTCTGGGGCAAACCCGAGCCCCGGTCCCATGTAAAGAAGTTTCTGAGAATGATAAAAACCGCCAACAACAGCTGCTGATGATGATGAGGAGGATGATGATGGTGATGAAGTTGATACTTGCATCATTGTTGATGGCCGTGATGTTGAAGGGCATTGTGCTGCTGCTGCTGCTGGGCTGCTGCTGCTGCTCGGCTGCTGCTGCCACAGCCTCTGCGCAGACATCAACTCTCACGGCACGCCCTTTCGGACGAATCGGTCCGCGCAGGACGAGCGGGGGAAGGGTTCTGCAAGGCTGCTGCGTAGCTGATGTGCAGTGGAGCTGGAGCCCTGGAGGGAAATCCACAAGCCCAAAGCTGCTAGCCCCAGGTAAGTATGGTTTAGGGTTTAGGGTTTAGGTTTAGGGTTTAGGGTTCAGGGCTTAGGGATTTAGGGTTTAGGGTTTAGGGTTTAGGGCTTAGGGTACTGCTTTCCCAGCAGGCTGATGCCGAGGCTGTAGTCTCATATTCATAGCTTCAGTCAGGTCGCACATGCAGATGCGCCGTTCGCGACCAAATCCCCAAACCCTCATTCCGAAGGGCCGCAACAGTAGTTGGGTGAGTTCAGGCAGGAGGGAAGCCAGGAAGCCTAAGTTTCCTAACCCTACGGTTGATGATGATGATGATATATATATATATCTATATATCCTGCATTCCCCATATATAATGAGGAATATACCATAGGTCCCATAGTTTAAGGTCCTTAAGGAAATATGCAGGATTTATATCATCAAGAGTATGTCCCAGAACCCCTAAACCGCCGCAAACCCAAAGCCCAGAGGCTTCACAGAGCCCGAGAGCTTTCGTGAGAGGACCATTCCAACTCCTCCTTGCGACTTCGCCCCGTCGTCGCCCGGCTTGTGGTGACGGCCTACCTGGGGATCCAAAAACCTACCGTTTTAAGGGAATTAAGGGGTCATAACCACTATTTTGTGGGGTTTGGGGTCACAGGTAGGGTTTAGGGTTCCGACTCGAATCCGGATTCTTCGGGAGCCCCTTCATGCAACGAGTTCGTGCTAGTCCTCGCTGAAAAAAATGAAAGCTGGGCCTCCAACAGCTTCTGCTGTTTTGCTCCGATGAAAAAAAACGCGCACTTGAAACCCTGCAACAACGGTTGAGACTTCCAAAAGGTCCGTTGCGGACAATGTCGAAGAGCCCAGCGTATTCAGAGCCAATGGACACCAAGAGATCTTCAAAGCCTTTCAGCACTCGAGCCATGCTTTTGTAGGCGCAGAGCTCGGCACACCCTCAGACCCTCACTTGAAGTGCGCACGGCGCGACCTAGCTCACGAAGTACTTCGCGAGTTACAATGCCAGTTTTGTCACCCCGACCTTCTGAAGTTGGTG